TCATATATATATATATACATTTAACATAAATATATATATATGTGTGTGTGTGTGTGTGTGTGTGTGTGTGTGTATGTGTACGTTGTTGTGTGTGTGTCAAGATAGCAACGCAATCTACCACTAAATATATCAATTCGAGACATCTATGAGACCATGTACAAACCTTTTCCGTGAATACAATGATCCTCATCTGTAAATATACCTAACACATTCTTCAGGATTACCCGATGCAAAAAAAGAAGATGTCAATGGAACATCTGCGTGAATGGTCTCATTTGCGAGGCCGGACAAACACAATCGGCGCCGCATTGCGCATACGGAACAGAGCCTATATGGCCATGCACGACTACTACCAGGTATGTATGTTCTATACATATGCCGAGGCTACGGTCGCCCAAGTCGCGCAAGGATATACAACTCGTGTATTGTTGGTCGTATACTTTCACACGTGTATGTGTGGTTAGGGTGTTGCCTATGCAGTCTCGTGTATCCCGTACCAGCTCTTGTCTTAGATTAAGACTAGGACTATATAGTGCGTGGGACTGCGCTATATCGTGACGCTGTGAACAGATTCTTAAATTCCTAGAAGATAAGCTACTTTGGTTAGTGACAAAGGTACACGTCCTTGGGATGGAATGACCCCATAGAGTATGTACTGGCGCCTTGACCCGGGAATAGTGAGTATACTAACCAAGTTCGCAATAGCGTTTTACATCATGTATGATCCTTCCGCACCCTTCAAAAACACGCGTACTTGCTTGTGTTCATGCATATACGTATTCCATACAATACTTCAGCATCCGTCAAAATCATACGTGCATGTTTATATCTCACGGTTATTTATATTCACTATGGTACCGTGCAGCCGCGTGTGCGCGCCTACAATCTAGGCATAGCTGAGCTTCAGACTATCTTTTCGCACGCGTTAAACTCGCACGTCTACGTTGCTATTTACAGCGGCCTACGATTTATGCATAGCTGAACTCCAGAAAATCCTTTCGCACGCGTTAAACCCACACGTGTATGTTGCTATTTACAGCGCATAGCTGAACTCCAGACAATTCTTTCGCACGCGTTAAACCCACACGTGTACGTTGCAATTTACAGCGCAACCAGTACACACACTACCCAACGCCGCTCCTCACAGCCAGTGACTGTGAAGGCGCCGGTGAAATGCTGAGAGTAACGCACAGCAATCCATCCAATCAGATGGCTGCAGGTACGGCGTTTCACTCGTATGTGTGGGTCGTTGTATTTGTGTAGCATATGCCACTCAACACTAGTTTGTACTCTGCTTCCTCCTTATAACAAAGAAGTCCAGACGACGTTCCATCAGTATGTGTGGCGTGGTGTGGTGTGTGTTGTCGCGAGTGCCTTGTTTGGGTATATCGAATTGGATCACTCCTTGGCGGTTGATGCGTAGTGCGCTCTATGCATTCAAGATCTCCATCCTCACATGGACACACTCAACACACCCACACGTGTATATGTATATTACAATTATACATACACCGAACCGGGCCTGATTTTGCTGGTGGTTTTGCGTCATGACATTTTGAAAAGTCTTTTCACCCTAGACCTCAACCTACATATAGAGACACATCATACACATTTATAGATACCTACTTGCGTACACACTGCAGTACTCCAATGTATACCACACTCTGCCCAACCTACATATAGACACAGATCGTACACATTTATAGAAACCTACTTGCATACACACTACAGTACTCCAGTTTATACCACACTCTGCCCAGTTCTCTTCGCGTACTTCCTTTACAATCCGACGCCCTAAGGTCTAACCCTAAACCCTACACCGTAGACCTCTTCGGAGCGCCCTCCTTCCTGACGGTTTCGGGTCAATTGCATCTGGAGTGTGGTTCGTATGCCCTGGGAGATTGCTACACATTCGGACCGGCCTTCAGAGCGGAGAACAGCCACACAAGACGCCACCTGGCCGAGTTCTACATGCTGGAGGCAGAGGTGAGTGGGTTGTGAATAGCCATACTGTATGTGTGGGTACACTTGGGTTGGAATCTCACAGGGGTATCGAATGCGTGTAGAATGATCAGTAGTCAGTATGCTGTATTGGGAGAGCGTGCTTCGTACTTGCTGGTCGTGCTGAGTAGTTGTGGCTATATTGAACACTAAGCTATTCACTTCACTCAACCGCGGTAGCCGTATCTCTGCTACGATAGTTTTTTTTTTGCCGAGTAAGATTTGCTGACAGTACTAATTGGGAAACCAATATGCCATACTGGTAGTAGTGCTGCCGTCAGTGGCATCCACCACTCCCGCTGGTATTTAGCCATATACGGGTATATTTAAATTCATCCAATAAATATTAGTATAAGTCCTGTCCCTATGAAGCTTCCCATACCTACCAGTTCCTCGACGTTAATCCGAGAAAACAGTCCGATTTACCCTATGAAATGATTTCTTGCGTTCATTCCGGCTAAGTTGTGGTGTGGAGCTCTGGAGGTGCAATGTACGTGGTCCTTTTATGCAGATATGCGGTTCCTGTTTGGGAATCGAGGTAGGGTTCATTTCGGGAACGGACTGGACAGTGTGGTGATATGGATATCTACAGTGCCAGTGCCTTATCAGAAACTTTTCTATATGGGATACGATAACGCTCATGCACAGAGTCTTTCAAGCATAAATAGTGCATAATTGTGGGCCTGTTTGTAACTGTCTAGAACAGATGCGGTTCGAGTCCTTATGCAGATCAACGGTTTCATTCTCACACTGATTGGCTCATGCAGTTATTCTACACAGACACGGTGGATGACGTCATCCGAACGCTATCGAAGTCCTTTAAACACACCATCTCCGAAGTATTAGCGCATTGCGCGGACGAAGTCGACTTCCTGTCCAAGTGAGTTTAGGGCTGAGCTCTGTATTTCACTGCCCTGGAATGAGTATTGGCACACGATTTGGTGTGTATTGGTTGTTTAGCGTTTGCAGTACAGTACTGTCTGGTATGCCTGTAGTATGAATGGCGAAACTTGCTCGCTTTGGGTCTTTCTGCCCAAGATTCGGGATTGTTCCGTGAACGCTACTGATTGTATTAAATGCACCACACAGACGGTGCATGCTGTTGTGTATCGTCTGCGTAAAACATTTGAGTGTCTTGGTCTGGAAGAGTGTCCAACGCAGGATGTATCTCCCCTGTGTTGTGCTGTACGATATAACCACTACAGCGGCTTTGCGGTAACTGTGGCTGCAATCGTATTCGTACGTTATACTACCACCCTGTTGTGCACCAATTCGATTGAGCGTGTTTCGAATTCGATTGAAGAGGGTATCAGTGGCATACTCTGTAGTGCTTGGATAGCTATGAGTTGTCGTGGTGCTATAATTAGTATGCGATGGTATTACGAGGTGTGACCCATATATATACGTACCTTAAACTTGAGCATTGTCATGGGCGGGATGGATATTTGTATGCGGAATGCTGTATTATAGCTCCAATGAAATCACTCTATTCGGAAGTGTTACCAGTGGCAAATATGGTTTATCTGTTGCAGTCCTCTATGTGATAGCTGTGCAGTGGATGGATATAACACCCGTATAAATTGGACAACGACATGAAGGCAGGTATACCTACGCTTTGTGAAGACTCTGTGATATACATGAACCATCACATACGCACACTTTTGTCCTTACGCACTGCTATGTTCACACTCTTTTCTGTCTCACTCTCCTTTGCTTGTGCAGGTGGGTTGACACGGATTTGCGAAGTAGGTTAGAAGCAGAGCTCGCCCGCCCAATTGTGGCTCTCAGCTACACCGATGCGGTGGAAATTATCAACACGAATTACGGTATGTCCCGGTATACGTTTTCTGTATCGTGTCCATAACTGCTCAAGGCTCTATATTCATCCTAGCTGGATAAGCTGACCGCGCGCATTCGTTCTCAACGTCCCAAGCGTTCCAAGTGTCTTGTAGTGTGTTTGAATACAAACTCGAGAAGAAGTGGCAGAGAATTTGGTTGGAGCGATGATCTTTGAATGAAGCACACACTTTGGCCGATGGGGGAATGTCATGACATCTTTACCTACATGTTATTCCTAGTCAAAATCAGGTACAGCTTATAGGGTTTTAGGATTTTTATAGGAATTAGTACAAGTTAAAATTAGTAGACTCGACCAGACGCCCGTTCTAGACGACGCGCCCGGTGTACACGCCCATGGCCTTGTCTATCTTTGAAAGGCAACTTACATATACTAATGGGCCTGTGACACTAATTCCGCAGGGAAATGGGGAAGATTAGGAAGGGATAGTAGGGCTATCTCTTTTAGTAGCATCTTTTTTTTGGGGGGGGGGGGGCGGGGGATGTAAGAGCATACTCAAGGTACAGTCTTAAACACACTCTGTACAGCGGGGAAATCCGAACTCAAATGGGGCGACGATCTATCATCCGAGCACGAGCTATGGCTGACTGAGGAGTGGTGCAAAGGATCCGTGTTTATCACAGACTACCCATCGGCCATCAAACCCTTCTACATGCTCAGGAACGACGACGGCAACACTGCAGCCTGCGTTGATATGCTGGTCCCGCGAGTGTGCGAGCTGGCAGGTGAGGGAGTGTATGCCGTACAGCATATGAGTGAAAACATATCGTGTTGAATCTGAAGTAATTATTTGCACGTGTTCACCAATGACAATGTTAACTATAAATATATGCTCACTAATGACATGTCAACTATAAATGCATGCTTACCAGTGTCATGTCAACTATTAACACATGCTTACCAATGACACAGCTATCAATACATACTCCCCAATGACATGTCAACTATTAATACATGCTTAACAATGACATGTCAACTATTAATACATGCTTACCATTGACACAGCTATTAATACATACTCACCAATGGCATGCTAACTATTAATACATGCTTACCAATGACATGTCAGCTATTAATACATGCTTATCAATGACATGTCAACTATTAATACATGCTTACCATTGACACAGCTATTAATACATACTCACCAATGACTTGTCAACTATTAATACTTACCATTATTGACATGTCAACTATTAGTATATGCTTACCATTGACACAGCTATTAATACATACTCACCAATGAAATATCAACTATTAATACTTACCAATGACATGTCAACTGTTAGTACATGTTTACAATTGACACAGCTATCAATACATACTCACCAATGAAATGTCAACTATTAATACTTACCAATGACATGTCAACTATTAGTACATGCTTACTAATGACATGTCAACTAGTAATACATGCTTACCAATAACATGTCAACTGTTAGTACATGCTCGCACATATGTGCGGTGCGCAACGTAGTCTCCGCCGAGACGCAACCTTCACCGGTATCACCCTTGTTGCCAAGGCCCGCATCGATACCGTAGTTTATTTTGTTAGTGCGTGTATGTTTCTTCTACTATCCGTATTTTAATTGATCTGCCAGGTGGGTACACAAAACATATCTATTTAATTGAAATTGCCGAGAGCGCTTATTCCCTTATTCACCTATACATTACCTTGTGTATGATAGAATCAGTGCATGTTGATTCATCCTTCTCGGTACTCATACCTCCAGGTGGCTCCTTACGCGAGCATAGAGTAGACGTCCTACGAAACAACATTGCGGCGCACGCTTCACCTGACACAGCAGAGGATGCGGATACGAATCTCGACAGACAGGGCAAACAGGATAGTAAGCCGAACCACATGGAATGGTACGAGGACCTACGGAAATACGGAGGAGTGCCCCATGGCGGATTTGGCCTTGGGTTTGAGAGGCTAGTGCAGTACCTAACGGGTATACGCAACATCAGAGACGTCATCCCCTTTCCTCGGGTGCCTGGGGCCATAAAGTACTGAGCAAATATGTTCGTAACTGTCAGTTCGGAGAGGCCATTCGACTTGAATTGATTTATTGTAATATAATGCGCAATCTTTCGCCTAAACAAGCACGTACACCAGCATGTTGGTTCAATTTGACCGTCATTAAGGGAGATATGAATTGTATCTTAAGGTATCGCGAACCTCAGTTCGTAGTGTGTATATCTGGATTTGAAGTAACACACGATTAACTTTGAGGAAGCTTGACAGTAGACCCTCTAATATCGGTATAGTGGGCTGTACTATCCGGCTCAGAAGCGGCATATGTTTCCTTTTTTATTATTTTAAATATGGGTGTACAATAGACCTATGAAAAGGTTCTATTTTTACATGCTTACATAGTACTTTTTGTGGTGAAGCCGGGACAAGAACAATTTAGGCCCGGCTTAATTACTAAAATTACAGACGCTCATGGTACAATGTGCATATTTTAGCTGCATACACACGCCTATATTAAGTTATTAACTTAGACGACTGACTCAAAAAGCGTTATATCAGATTCATATTTATAGAGGTGTAGATATTCGAGCAGTATTAGAAGTATAGCGGAATGGGTAGGCGCGCAGCATCGTATTGTAAAGATACCGGATCACGAGATAGTCCTGTGTAAGAAGTACCTAGCAGAAATCGCGTTGTATTTAAGAAACGTACGGTACGCTTAGGTAGGATGTCAGAGACAGATAATCTAGTTGAATACATACATAGGAAAGGACTACAGAGTATGTCGCAAACATATCGCAGGGAAGTACATACTAAAGACGAATAACAACTATGCACTTATCATTTATGGTTTCAGCCTTGACTCTCACGTCTGTGGAGTATTTATTTAAATATATGGACTAGAGATAATCGACAACAACCAGTATACGATTGGCGGACCAAAAACAACGCGCGCTTATGTGCTCCTTAGATTGTTGAATTTTAGAAAGCTATATGTACTCATTTCTATTTATTACTATGACAGGGGCTGTTCAATAATTGTTTTTGTTTTTTTGTTTTTAAAAAACCATATAAAAAACAGTGACTCCACATAGCTTTTTTGTTTGTTTGTTTTTTGAACAATATATAT